TCGTACAAAATGTATACTTCAACATATTGAGAATAGTTACATTACAATGTGTAGTGTAACATTCATCATTCTTAGTGTAGACGTTTGTGAAGGGTAGTTTTGAGATCATTTGTGGTTGAGGATAGTGTAACACTGTTCCACATCACTTTACCTCGGTCTTGAGGTTTGTAGAGGCTAGGAGGCATTCCCAACTCGCAACTCTTCTTAATTTTCGTTCTGAAACCCTAGTGGCAACCATACTGCCGTTTGTTCAAACTGACGTTGCGACGTCAATACTTGATCAAATCGTGCGTTCAAATTGGTCATTGTATGCGACGTTAAGACGCTCCAGATTCATTTTATAGCATGGCATTTGGAGCTTTGACCAGAACGCTATAAACGTTTAAAACAATTGTGCAGAAATCTGTCTGTGCACTCTATATTTTGTTATAGCATATTTGAGCCGATTGTGACGATAATATGGGTAAGAGGGGCGGGTAGTAGGGAGGAGAAGAGGGGAAGGAACTTTGATGTTGTTTAGAAAATGTTTAACGTCTCACTACACAATAATTTCAGCGAGAGATATTTCTCAGTGCAGGTGTACCTGGAGAGATGACGCTGGATGGTACTGGCTTGGATGGTGTGGGCACGGTCAACCCTGTTGGCTTAGAGAGGTGCACAAAAAACAGATGGAATCCAGGCAGCGAATGCCAGGCAAATCAACAGATAGAATCCATACATGAACCAGATTTGGAGCAATGGTCGAGTAAAAAAGTATTCACTCGTTATACTGGTGGCGAGTCTAATTACGCTAGTGGAGAGTCCGTTTTTTTTTTTTTTTTTTTTTCTTCTTCTTTTATTTTTTCCCTAAAATTGCATATTACATGCGCTTCTCGGCAATTTTCTGCTTCCCTCAATAAAACTCACCTCGCTTCGAGGCAAATGAATGACTGCGGGAGATTTTTGGGCATGCGTTGTGTCCGGTAGAGGGGTTGCAATCCGGGAGATTTTTAGGAGCAATGCATCGCATCTGACCCGGGGTTCTCGGGTCGCGTGTAGGGCTCAGGCTTGGTCAGGTAGGCCCAAGAGCCAAACTTTCTACAACAGCTCATCTCATGCCTGCATGCTTGAACGGCGACCAAATGAAGCAGCAGCAGCAGTCAAAAAGTCTACAAAAAGACACATTGTTATTCACAGAATGATGACAACGAGAGAGGAGAAAGCCTGCACTAGACAACACCGGCCCGGCTCACCTGTTTCAATGAACGACACGAGGATGGCGTGCTGCTGCTGGTAAGGAGCCACAGAGGACGCCACAAACCCAAAGTAGAACCACCTATCCATTTCCGATGGCTGCAGCACGTCACACAGGGACAGAGGGCTCTCCAGCAGAGGCGTTTCCGGCTTGTCCCCACTCGCAGCCAGATACACACTCAGCGTTCCCGGACCTCCTGGGTCACCGGGCTTGTAGTCAATCCATGCGGTGTAGGTCCTCTGGTTGTTGAGTGTGAAGGGCGAACGGACGGCCTTGATGGAAGTGGCGCTGCCGCCGGTGTTGAGCCCCACGTGGTGGCCGGGCATGTCCCCATGCGCTGCATCTGTGAACGTGTCAAACTCTACAGCTATGCTCCGAGCGTCCATGCCAGCGTACCCAACCCCTCCCCCCTCCCCGCCAGTCCCGGCCGCATTCGTCGCCGAAATCACAAACGCGAGCCCCTGACCCGCCTTAGACGTGCCACCAGCAGAGGGAAACATGAAGAATGTGAACTCGACTCGGATTGGCAGGTCGGCGCCACAGCCATCAGTGACTGTTTGATACGTGGCGACGTCGAAACGGCCCGCAGTGAACACGCCTGTCGTTGCTTCTTCTGTGCCCTTGGTGAGAATGGTCGGCTCCACCAGCTCCCTAATCCCCACCGACCCTGCACACAAAAGGTCGCCAGCAGATTGTGGGCAGACACGGGTTTCGGCTTGGATTTGTGGAGAGCTAAGGGGATGAATCTGAGAGGAGGCAAGGGAGGGGCGAGGATGGAGAGGAGTGGTGGGGAAGGGGAGCACAAGTGAAAGGGAGAGGAAGGGAAGTATCGGAAAGAACAAACAAGGGAGGAGTATACTCACTGACATGCAGAAATGCAAGGGGTAAAGGACGTGCTAGTGTGGTTACTGCTTCTTCTGCCGCTAGTGTTCCTGCAGTGGCTGCTCCTGATTAGCAGTGACTGCTACTACTCCTGTTAGTCTTGCTCTGCTTCTATTCATGCAGCTTCTACCCACTGCTTCTATTTGCTGCTCCTACTCCACTCCACATACCCGGAGGGGCGCAGCTGGTTCGTCCATCCTGCACAGCTCCATCCTGACAGCGGCACGTGGGAATGCGATTCGGCCCGTACAGATAGCAGACTCCCAGGTCGTTACAAATAGGTGAGTTAACGCCGCTCACTTCCATCCCACAGAAGGCTTCACACTGTGCCCTCGGACGCTGCTCAGCACACGGTCCGAGTGTCATGAAGAAGCAGTTTACACCAAGTTTGATATTATTGCACTGCCATTCATTCAACTGTCCCGTTAAATAGTTGTTCGAAAGGTCCCTGCGAGGAAGGGAGGGACCGAGAGGGGGAGGTGGTGAGGGGCGGAAGGGAGAGGAGAGGGGGGGAAGACTTTTGAGTTGACTCACAAGGCGCTCGCGATCGGTCAAACTCTCCTATAAGATTGTCCGCGATGTCGCTACGAGGAGGAAAGAGGAAAGAGAGCAGGCAGGAGAGAGGGGGGTAGAAGAAGTGATGTAACGATTGCTCACATGATGACTAGAATAGAAGGGCTGGTGTACAGCAACAGCACATGCTTGTATTTGAGGCGCCTCAAAAATAGGAAGGCGGGGCAGTGAGCACAGCACAGGTATGGCTGAGATGAAGCAGGGGCAGCAGAAAAGAGGAATGCCACACGTTGCACACACACGCGTGCAGTGCCGCGTCTTGTGCTCCAGCGTGCAGAGCAGAGCAGACTGTGCGTTTTTATGAGCGGCTACTCGTTCCAAAGAAGCGCACAAAGAAGGAGCACAACAGGCACGATGGCTGCAGGGGGGAACTCACAGCGCCGAGATGCTGGACGACACTGAAAGGCCTGTGAAAACGCCAGCGAGCTGGTTCGAAGCCAGGGACCTGGGGTGAACAGGGCACATTGCATTGCACGCAACAAGATGGGATTGTGCGGTGTGGGCAGTGGGCACATGCATGGCCGCATGGGGATGTGTGTGTGTGTGTGTGCACTGTATGGCACAGCGGATTCGGTGACAGGATGGAATAGGGGGGATGCTGCTGGGTGCATGGCATGGCTGGCTGGCATGCAAACGAGGAGGCGTGGGAAGGGAAGAAAGTAGCACAGGATTCTTGCTGCGAGACTCTCTTTAGTAAGCGTAAACGCGTGCGGGCCTGGGTGCATGCGAGTGCTTGTGCATGTGTGCGTGTGGGTAGGTGAGTGCACGCGCGTGCATGCATGTGAGTGAGTGTACGCGGGTGCGCATGCGGGGAAGGGAAGAGGCCTATGGGAGGAAGAGGGAAGAGGGCAGCCAGAGATGCATGGAGTGATGATTTGACAAGATACAGTCAATCAACCACGAGATGAGATGCTTAGATGCTTTAGGTTCAGCGCTGTACGTACAGGAAGACCAGTAAGTTCAATTTTTCAAAGACTTTTGGCAAACTGCCACTTAGTAAGTTTTCCGCTAGATTGCTGCCAAGTAGGGATAAGGGTAGTTGTGACAGCACAAGTCAATGGGGGTGGATGGAGCAAGTTCAGGTTTGAGATCCAAAGGAGAGAATAGTAAAGGGAAGTGCATGCGTGCACGTATCCTCTCATAGGCGTATAGTGCATACGGAGCAGCGGTAGCAAGTGAGTGAAATGAAAGCAATGCTCCAAGGCACTTACACCTCTTTCAGTTGATAGAGGCCGCTCATAGACTGGGGAACGTCGGTCAACTCATTGCCGTTGAGATAACTGATTGGCACGGGATGGAAACGAAATGACAGAGTTTGGTTGGGTTCCGATATGATCGTATGAGGTATCACATCATGACTGGGATGCGATGTTGCTACACGGATAGCACTGCTGCTGCTGCTGCTGCTGCTGCTGCTGCTGCTGCTGCTGCTGCTGCTGCTGCTGCTGCTGCTGCTGCTGCTGCTGCTGCTGCTGCTGCTGCTGCTGCTGCTGCTGCTGCTGCTACCGCCGCAGCCGCCAACAGAACAGTGGAAATGAGTAGAAGAGGGAGTGAGACCAATTGGTGTGGTACTAGGGCAGTGATACTGACAGATAACCTAGGTTCCCAAGCTGCCCGATGGCGTCTGGGAGGGCCCTTTGAGGCGCCTCAAAACTTGTACGACTTTTGAGGCGCCTCAAAAATAAGGCAGTGGAACTGACAGATAATTGAGGTTCCTAAGCCGGCCAATGGCGTCTGGGATGGACCCCGAGAGAAAGTTGTCATTCAGCACTCTGCAGGTGATGCCGAGGGGACGAGAGGAACAGACGGGTACAAAGGGAACAGAAGGAAACAGAGAGGGGCAGAGGGGAACAGAGAGGAAAGAGTGCAGCACAGGTGAACAGTGCGGAACAGAGGGGGACAGAGGGGGGCAGCGAGGGGGGACAAGGGGACAGACGGGGGCAGAGGGGTACAGAAAGGGACACATTCTGAAAGACACAACGGTGGCTGGCAGGTACGTGGAGCTGGCGGAATAAATAGCACCATGCAGTGAACGGCCCGTGTTCACGCGTTCAAGTTGAACGGGTGTGCTCCATAGCAGGTGAGCGCCCTCTGAATGCCCAAGAGCGCCCTCGGGGCAATGCCCCTCACAGCCAGGTCAACTGCTTGTCGTCCCTCACCCACGCTCCCTACCGCAACCCCCCGGTTACCCCTTTCATTCCAACATGATTGAGAAACCGCACAGGTATTGCAGCTGAACGAGGTTGCCGATGGACGCTGGTATGGATCCCTTGAGTTGCTGGTATGCCATGTTCCTGTCAGGGGTGATGATGACGACGACAGGGTGCAATGCAGCAGCGGACGGAAGAGCATGAGGGGTGCCAAAACGCCCATAACTCCCCTAACCTCCCCCTTCCCCTCCTCCCCCCCCCCCCCCCCCCCCCCCCCACACACCCCTCCTCCTTCCCACCCCATCATGGCGTTATGTCACAACAAAAACGGGAACAACAGCGAAGGTTGAGCCTGCCACAGCCGCACAGGCAGGCTCTTGCCGTTATCTCGCAAGGCGGCGCGCACTCACAGTGAGGTGACCATGCCGTTGTCGTCACACAGAATGCCTCTGGGCGTCTCAAATGTTCCGGTTAGGTCGTAAGACGCCACGGCACAGTCTTTTCCTGCACTCCACGTTGGCATCACCACCTTCCACTCCGTCTGGCAGTCCTGCAGAGCCGGGACTGAAACAAACGGGGAGAGCAGAGGAGAGCAGAGCAGAGCAGCATCATCATGGTGCGCGCGGTGTGCAAGAGAGGAGAAGAAAAGAAACGTCACTGGAGGAGAGGGCACTGTGCGTCCGAGTCATGTCATGTCATGTCATGTCACCGTGTCACGTCACGTCATGTCAAGGATTCACATTCGATGTTCATGTCAATGATTCAATTGAAATGAAGATTCGAATTTAGGAGGCAGTAGCGGACGAGATTTGAAGTAGCATGAGGTAGAAGAGGAGCCGAGAAACGGCATCAGTGGGAGCAGCCTTCGTGAGAGAGAGCGAGAGAGAGCAAGAGAGAGAGAGAGAGAGAGAGAGAGAGAGAGAGAGAGAGAGAGAGAGAGAGAGAGAGAGAGAGAGAGAGAGAGAGAGAGAGAGAGAGAGGGAGCGAGGGAGGGGGAGGGAGGGGGGGAGGGGGGGGTGGGGGAGCAAAGGGAAGAAACGCCATAAGTATCCCATAACTTGATGGATGATGATGGAACGGCAGAGGAAATACCTTGGGAGGCGTCGAGGGGGACAGAATAGCCGGAAAGTCCGGCAGTGGCAGGGCGAACAAAAGAGAGGGCCGCGAGACATGCGGCGATCAGAAGCAGAGTCATCGTCGCACGCCGATTGCTAGTTCGATGACGTGACTGGACCGCAGGGGTACGACGTGCACAAGGAACTCGGAGTTACTAGCGAATGTTGATCATCGTTGAGAGATGTGCTGCATTGCTCCCGGCCAGTGGTCAGCCGCAGACGGTGCCGCATCACACACACCCTCAGGCGCTGCCGGGACTCGCAACGCGGTTTGACTCGAATGGTTGATGCTATGACTCATAGAATCGCGAAGAGACTTGGCGCGTTGAGAGTCAGCTGTAGTCCGAGTCGGACGGACCTATAGTAGCTAGGTAGGTCACCTACTAGCTGGGAGGGACCAAGATTAGCTACCAGCGAGTACAAGCAGTCCTCACTGGAAACAACTACGTCTCAAAAATTGGGGTCCGTACGACTGTTTTGAACATGAACGGAGCCCCCTCTGCAGGAAAATTAATATGGATCATTAACCCGACTCCGCAAGTTGATCACATCATGTGGTTGGTGGTGGGGGCTTGTACTTGCCGAGGTTGTGCAGGAAATTGGAGGAACACAACAGCATTCTCACAGCAACACAACCGACCTAGGGAAATCTGTTTGTTTCCTAAGGGACGGGGCGGAAGGAAGCCCCCCTGTGAATGGCAACCCCTCGGCACGGCAACAGAGGTGATATCAGTCTGTGTTTGTTTGTCAGGTCAGGACATACGTTCCCCGCGAAGCATAGGCAGGGTCGCGTGGTTCCTTCACAGTTCAGGGAGTGGGCAACCTGCTCTAGATTCACAACATCGTAGTCAACCCGCTCCCCCTGAACAAAAATTGAACCGCGTGGAACCCTGCCATGGGCCACGCACTCACGGGAAATGCTGTACAAAGCAACACTTATCACGAAACACACGAAACAGATGTACAGTATAAACTCGGAAAGTTCTGAAATTCAAAGTGATTGGGAGGTCAGTCGAAAGGGGAAAGGGTAACTAGAATCAAAACAGGTTGTGAGGTGCCAGTGGTACTGTACACGGAGGCTGGGGTTTGGTTCCGGTAGGACGTTCCTTCTGACACCGCATACAGTATAGTATCTGCCATGGATAGTCAACACTGATCACAAAAAACAAAGAACACTCTTTGGAAATTGGTGGATCCAGATTGACGAATCGTGAAGGAATGCATCAGTGGTGAACGTTGTCCTTGATGGGAACCTACCCGTCCAGGGTTTGAAAGATGTGGTTGTGATGTGGCAGCACATACACCACAAGACCGTGAATGTTGGCAAGGTGATTCTCGCTGTGGGGTGTATATCCATAATTCAGTTACATCGCTAGACGGCAGCGCGAAATGCTTTGGTTGAACCGCCCCAGCCCAGAGCCAACACTGTTCCTTATCTTCGCTAATACACCCGATGCTCACCCATATCGTGCAATCTGCTTTCTCATTTTGTGAAGGGTTTTGAGGTGGATTTCGAAACTCCACTTCAAATGTGCCGTTCCATCACTTCTGGTGCAGTGTTACTGCCCGTTTTTCGCTCAGAGTGCAGAGTTATGACGTGTTGCGGTTGGTAAAGAAAACTTGAGCAATGGTTTGGCAAAGAAAAAAATCAAGATTAATTGCAATGGGTATTTGCGATGATTATTTAAAGAAATATAATGTTGATATGCGTATTCTGTTAAAAAAAAAAAAGAGTTCTTTTTAGAGCCTTCTTAACCATACGTCCGAGCCGAATTGATGCCGTGCAACGTTAAATGCAACACGACGTTAGTGCGCTTTCAACGTAGTCTGACGTTCATTCGCTTACATTTTAAATTACGACAAGCCCATTTCACTATCGTGCCACAGAAAACAGTAACTACCAATGCTGGTATTGAGCATTTTTCAGGCCTTTAAAGGAGGGCATCAACCTAAGCCACTCACCCACATGGTGTTTAGGGTTGATGCCTCCCGATTCGATGGCATGCCGGAAAAAAAAAAAAGTATATAACACATTGCAAAGAGCATCAACCTTAACAATTGCGTCTGGTCTTTAGGGTTGATGGCTCCTTAATCAACATACAACCTGGGAATGTATTAGATTTTTATATGGCTGAAATCCGGGTGTAAACAGTTTAATGGCCATCAATTTTAGCAGCTGTTTTGGTATGTCAACAACGTGGCCAATGAACACTGTACTTCGTTGAACGCACACTAAATCTGCGCCCTATGCGACAAATTGGAAGACACACTGCACCAGGAGCGACATTGCTGCGCTCTCGGCGTTTAGCTTCAGTAACTGTGCGTGATCAACTCAGAGCCTATTTGGAAATTGTAGCCCTTGTTGGGCCCTAATTCTAGCCTAATTGAGCGGGAACGAGGGTCTGATTCTATAAGTTTCATCCCGAAACTAATGCATTAAAAAAATGAAATCGACGTTACATTCTGCCGTCCCAGATGGTTGGGAACGAATATACCAAAACCAGCTACCCATCTAAATAAAGCAAAAATTTTACCTCCTCACTACCGTCGTTGGGGCCTTGTGAGGGTGCGATTGGCCAGTCCGCCTATATGTTTACCCTTTTCTTTTCAGACATGTTCCCTGACTACTGGAGTAGGCAATCAGCAATGGAGAGGGGGGGGGGTGTTAGAAAGCCTAGCTAGAACTTAGTAGCCATGGCTAGGGTTTAGGGTGCTTGCAAGAGTGTCGAGAAGTTTGAGCAAGAAGGAAGTGTTTCACTAATGAGCAAACATACAAGATATAGTTCAAGGGACAAGGAAATGTGGTGCACCACCAATGTAACACTACACTAACCACTGCTACAAGCAGTTTATATAAGAAATGTATTTCAACACACCCCCTAAACTGCTTGCAGCAGGAAGCGAATGCAGAGACACTCTTGCAGGGGCACACCAAGCGCAGCAAGAGAGGGCAAGTGAGGAGGAGGAGAAACTGTGGGGGGCGATCTGCTGCAGGCGATGGGCGAAGCTGCAGACACAACGGGCAACAGGAGCGGCGCGCACAGTGGCTACCGAGCGCACGAGGGCACCGGACTACGGGAGTATCTGGCTCCGCGGCTACGACGAGCACACACAGGAGCAACTGACCCACAGGCGACTGGCGAAGCAGGCTCGCTGGGCTACCGAGAGCACGACGGCTCCGGACTACAGGCGCTGCAGACGACACGACAACGACCTCCACTCTCCCCCCCCTAACAGTCCCACACCCCCCTATCACACGCCTCTTTGCTGCATCCCTAGTCCCACTCACACACCACCCCCACTTAAACCCTAACCCTCGGCTCCCACACATCCACCCCCCTCAGCGGCAGCTGCAGCAGTGGGAGACGAAGGAGGAGGAGGAGCAGGGGACGGAGCACAGAGCCAGCACCCCCATACGCGCCACCCCCACACGCGCCACCCCCAAACCCTAACAAAGGCAGCAGCGGGGAGGCGATCCGGAAGCGATTCGGGGGACAGCGGGCGGCTCCCCAGGGCGCCACGACGGGGCAGCGGGAGGGGGGGGAGCGCGGCGCCCAGGGCGCCTCGACGGGGCAGCGGGGGTCGCGCCGCGGCTCCCCAGGGCGCCACGACGGGGCAGCGGGGTCGCGCGCGGCTCCCCAGGGCGCCGCGACGGGGCAGCGGGGGGTCGCGCGCGGCTCCCCAGGGCGCCGCGACGGGGCAGCGGGGGGTCGCGCGCGGCTCCCCAGGGCGCCGCGACGGGGCAGCGGGGGGTCGCGCGCGGCTCCCCAGGGCGCCGCGACGGGGCAGCGGGGGGTCGCGCGCGGCTCCCCAGGGCGCCGCGACGGGGCAGCGGGGGTGACGGGCGGGTCTGCTGCAGGCGACGAGGGGGTGGGGGGTGCGCTTCGACGGAGCAGCGAACCGCCGCGCGACCCGAACGCGCGGCGGGAAGAAAAATAAGGCGTCGCGCGCCACGGGGCGCGCGACAGACAGGAAAGCAGCGGAAGCATAGGGGCCCACAGGCCAAGGTAGAACGAGCTCTGATACCATGTTAGAAAGCCTAGCTAGAACTTAGTAGCCATGGCTAGGGTTTAGGGTGCTTGCAAGAGTGTCGAGAAGTTTGAGCAAGAAGGAAGTGTTTCACTAATGAGCAAACATACAAGATATAGTTCAAGGGACAAGGAAATGTGGTGCACCACCAATGTAACACTACACTAACCACTGCTACAAGCAGTTTATATAAGAAATGTATTTCAACAGGGGGGGGTTGGGCGGGGGGGGTGGGGGGGGGGAGGGGGAGAGTTGGGTCGACAATGGTTTACTGTACAATGGGTTGGACATTGAACTGGGGAGAAATGGGCATAAACCCATTCTGGAATTTCGAGCATCCGAAGGTGGTTCGGGCTCGATCAAAGAGAGTCCGGTTTTTTGTCAAAATCCACCCATTCCTTGCCCATTGCAAGCCAGTTACCCCTGCTATAGAACACGGCCCATGCCAATTTAATAGTACAGTCACCAATATCTATTTAGTCGACAGAGTTGGGGGGAAGACTTACAGCGTGCTCCAAGGTGGAGCGTGCCCTTGGCATTAGCACTCTGCCGTGCTGATGCTACGATAAACTGTACCGTAAAGCCCTGCATACATCAGCTCATGCAGCTTCTTTTTTCAAACGCCAAGAAGCAAGCTTGAGGTAGTTGCGCACCCAAACGGCCTGTCGAAGGGCGAGATGCAACCAGTGATGCTGCACTTCCATGTAGAGTAGCATCGTCCTCACGGCTTCGACGGCCATGCGCATATCCCGCTCGGTCATCCCATTTTGCTACCAAGTTTGGGGGCGCATCTAGTCGTGGAGGATGCCCTAGTGCTTGAAAAAGTTTGTAAAATAGGCAAGCTCGCTAAGTGGAGTGGCTAAAATGGCTGATGACTCTCTTAGAGTCTAAGGCTCCTCTGAAATATTGCTGGGTACCGTATTCTCCCGGACATAACACCCTAGGGTAGATCTAAAAATACAGGAAAAAAAAGGGGGGTGTCTTCTCATAGGAAAAAGCTACATAATACCCGGGTGCATATATATGGCATATTCTAAGGTTAGAGTTTTTT